TTACCCGGCCTTTATTTTCGCAGGCGTTGGCCGTAGTCATATACTTCCAATTGCAGAAGTGTTTTAAATGATGAAATATTCATGTTTGGCATAAATGGAATCTAACTTTTAATGCGGTCTCCCGGATCTTATAGTTATGCTTAGGAAAGTTTTATACTCGTTATGAAAAAATAAAAATACAAGAAGTTTGAGTACCATGCGACAAAAATTAACCGGGATATTTAATTCAAAATTCTCAGTTTTTGATGCCATTTTCAATTTGCCTTCAAGGATCGGTTAATATATATAGTATTTCTCCCGCTTTCTTCGCATGCCTTCGTGGTGTGGTGGTCTGCACGCTGGGCGCGTATTTTAGAGGTCCGTGGTTCGATTCCCGGCGAAGGCGTTGCTAATTTTTCAAGTCTTCTGCTTCCAAAAATTCCTAATGTCTCTACAAATGAAGTTAGGAAAATTGAAGGAAATAAGTTTAAATGAAATGCAGCAAAAAATGTGTATTAGGCCATACGAGGAAGTCATGTAGTGTCCACAGAAGTTTTTTTTATTCTTTGTACATATTCAAAAGAGGCCTATAGAATAAAACTGAAGAACTATGTTCCTTCGATTTGATTCTGAATTCCCTCAGTCGGTCGGACTAGCTGCTTTGGAGTTTAAGCCTTGCATAACGTAAATGCAGCTCAGTTTCTATTAAAGAAAGGGTCCAAGAAGACATCCTTTCCTTTAAGCAGATGGTTTGGTTTCATTTGTTTAATTATTGCAAAGCAATCGAGAGTTATCTGCCTAAAGGGGATTTATGCCTGCGTGGAGGACTTTCTAAGCGAACTGGTTCCTACGTTACACATACGGTTCATCGGGATTCGAACCTTGGACCGAACTACCAGTATTTAGCGACTTTAGGCCGCTGGAGGGATCTTTTAGGCATATGTTTTCTGGTGTTTTGACATATTCAGACAAACCTTCGTAATATAAATGTATGAGCCCTTTTAAAGGCTCCAAGACAGTTTGTCCTTATATGTTTGGGCGTAGTTCAACTAAAAGAAATACATTTTTCAAGTGTGTTACAGAAATGTCAACAAACTAAGCAGTGGGCGTCTCATCACTTTTATCATCTTAGCTGTTTCTTTTTCTTGCGAAATAAAAGAAAATATCAATCGATGCATTGTTTGGAAAGATTTTCATGTGCCTATAAAATCTTTTGAGTTATCTATTGGGCACAGCGATACGATAAGCACATTTGTTATCTATCAGCGAAACTATTCTCATAAAAACGAAAATTGATAAGAATGGAATGTGAAGTATACTTTTCCGCAGTAAAACAGCATTAAAAAAAAGTATTTATGGAATAGCCACATAGATTTCGTTAAATTTGGGCGTGTCGGTGTGTGCGTTTGTAACTTTTCAGAAGCTTTAAACCATGAGCGAGATTGCATACATAATAATTTTAAGTCAGAGAGCAAATGTTCATGTTTTAGCTTAAATTTTAACATTTTTGAAATGTGCTTTAGCTTAAAAATTGACCTTCTCTGGGACTTTTCAGAAATTTAATTACCTTCCATTGAATTGTTACGTTTGATATAGATGGTATTAAAAAAGGAAAAGTCGTTTTATTCGCAGCGTGAATAACATTAAAAGAAAACCATAAGAATTTTCCAGGGCATAGAAACAGTAGTATTAATGGAAACTCAGCTATAATAAAACAGAAAACCTACAGTTTAAAATGTTCAATATTATTAGATTTTAAAATCACAATAGTATTATTTTTTTTTTTTTTTTATCCATTGCTAAAACTCAAAAGAAAGTACAATGAAATCCAGGATCATCACTGCAGATCGCAGTTGGAGTGGGAGGGGTCTACGTTGGTTAAAATTGTCTCGATTTGGGTGATATGCAGACTGCTAGAAACTCGTTCGAAACAATTCTTTTCGTCTGCGAATGTTAATATTCGTTACTGTCTCCCATGAAGGAGCTTTAAACTAGTACTTAGAACCAGCTTTTAACCTTGAATATCAGTTTTTTTGTTTGTTTTACTTCCCTCTATTACGTAAGGTCTTATGCAAAATAAATGTACTTTTATGGGAACCAGACGCGATGTTATCTGTAAGCCGGCCTTGACTGGTAAATGTTACATCAGTGAACAGCATCTGTCATGCAGAGCGTTGAACGGATTCTTAATTCCAGACAGCTGCTGAAACTATTTCCTCCAGAATATTGCCGTCAACTGAAACAAATCGCAAATCCAGAATATGATCTAAAAATATTTAAAATTCATCGGACAGCTGATACAGAGGTTTACAAAGTATCGCGACTCAGCAAATATAACCTTAAAAGTATTAGGCACGCTACGATAATGCATTTACTTTTAAATAAGTTTGAGTTTAGTAAAAACCAAACATTTTTATCATTGAATATACTCAATATTATTTTCACAGTTTTAATGCTTGCTGTTTCCACCTTAAGCTTTAATTACAGGAGCAACTCTGCACTGTATATTTATTACCCGCTAGATTACGACCCTCCTCCGCATTTATGAAATTGAAAAATTATTTGGACCATTTTTAACGGAACTTTTGGATGTTAATGAGTACTAGCATAGCTTCCGCTTTAAAAGATTTTTAGATGTTCAACCGGGTTAAAATCTGGGAACTGTAATGGGTAGAGTAAATCAACAATGTTACTACGAATTGCATTGAACTCACAGCATTGAAGTAATCAATTTCTAGTATATTGTGTTATTTTACTGAGATTTGATGCTACCTATATTTATATCATCGAATAATTTATAAAGGGTGGATATAGAGTGGTTTTAGGAACACGGGTGTATTTTTGATTAGTCGTGTAAACTTCCCAAGCTTAGAACTTGCCTACACTACTTGCCGCCATGCATCCCCATATCGTAATACTGCCTCCTCCATATTTTACAGTAGAAACTACACGCACACTCCGTGTTGTATTTTTCTTTTTTCTTCGCGGGACTGGTTTTAGAAATTTCAGGGGCTTTTTCCACAGTTGGGAGACGGGACTCCCTAGCACGGTCCCTTTCAAAGTTCTGCTTCCGTATTGCATGGTCAAATCATGGTAACATAATTCATTATCACTATCATTTCGTTTCGAGAGCAGAAATTATAAAAACATTTGTATAATGATAATCAAAGTGCATATTATTTTCAGTAAAACAAATTAAAAAAACTGATGTATTTTCACTAAATTCAAAACTGTGTACAGTTTATGTTAACTGTTTTCTTTATGTTTTAGATCTATACAATCACTTTTGCTTTTTGTTAGCATTGACCTGGATGCAAACATTTAAGTCCGAGGTTTTGAAAGTTTTATTGCTTTTGGGATCGGCCCTCGTAACTGTACTTTGCTATCGCCCATCTCTGCTACGTTAGTTAGCCTGTAAGGATCCTAAGTTTTACTTACTTTTTTTTTATTTTAAAACTGTACTATCACTTCTTATTTTCTACTTCCGGGCCAGAATTAAATGCTTTAACTTGTTTATGCAAATTGTCTTGCTAACGCCCAAGTATTTAAGTTGTGGCTTTTTGACAAGAGTTAGAGAGAGAAGGAGATTTAGGAAGCGAGCCGCTTGCCACTGCAGTCTTACGAGTTTTCACTCGGTTGCTGTTTGCCTTTAAGGCCAGAAGTTTAGCTCTCTTGACATTTGAAAACGTATTGTAGTTTCAGCAGCTCGGCGTACTACATATGTACCCTTTTAAATAAAGGCCAGTCTTAGTGCTAGGCATTTGTATACTAATTCAAAGTTAACTTTTAGTTAGAGTTTTAGTTAGTATTTTTATATTTTTACGTTCAGACCACAAGTGGTTGGTCTCTGTATCCCGAAGTTCGGGAGTACCTGTAAAGTAATAGAGAATAAAGGGTTTAGTATACCCTTCCTGCTTGTGTCGTCTATTCCACACAATCTGGAACAGAGCTTTAGTAAGCTCCCTGTTCTTATTCAGGATACAATATGTTCCCGAAGCAAGTGAAGAGACATACATCTCCTGACAAGCCGGCATTAGCCATTTTGCTAGCGGAAGTTAAATCGCACAGAGTCTAAGCCAGTGTATAGTTATATTGCAGTCTCCTAATAAGAATTTTTTAAGACTATTTAAAACCTTTTTAGGACTCTGTTGTACTTTCCTAGAAAGAGCGATAACTCACTCAGTCTAAATAGAGTTACACAGAGAAGAAGGAACTAATAACAGTATGGAAAATTTTAAAATGTATGAAAATAAGCTTACTGCAGCATATTACTCTTAGAGCTTCTAATCGTTTTTGGTTTTATTCGTAATATGCATATATACGTATTCATAATTTTATACAAAGAAACATTTTTGCTTGGACTACTATTTTAAAGATATCTAAAACATACGAAGGTGTATAATACTTTTGGCAAGGCTGGTATGTCATAATCATACTTCGATCCCAGGCGAACGGGCTGACTGCATGGTTTTCCTCATATGTAAAGTGAACATAAGCCAGCTTCCCTTAGAAAGTTTTCCATGGAGATATCCTTCCCCATAAGGAGATAGCCCTCGTGTGCTTTGCTTTATTTGAATTTCCAAACACTCTATAACTTAATTATTTGATGTCGATGTGAAAAAAATGAATTTTAATTAATCGTATCTTTTAAATATATTGTATATTTTTTTTAAATAAACGTATAATGGTTGTAACATATACTAAAAATTGCTTTCGTAGAGGACAAGAATTAGCTAGGGCACAAAACATTCTAATTTATAAAATTAGTTCCCGCTTTAAAGAAATTGAGAATATCCGACTTAATGTAGTTGTTGTGCTAAGCTGACAGCTTTCCTGCCTGAATTCCAGTGAAAAAGAAATTACGTCAGGCATAGATCTTACTTTCTTAGGGTTCTTGTATAAAAAGTTTCAGTTAACATATTAAGAAAAATAAAATTTGGGTGACGAATGTTTCTAATAAAAAGACATTATTTTGAAGAGCTGAATTTATATTTTATAACTCATTATGTATTCTTTTTCAGTATGACTTGCACATCGATGACTTATTTCATGATATAGGCGATGGGTTGAGACTCATGAAACTGCTGGAAGCTCTGACAGGAGAAAAACTTGGTAAACCAGCTAAAGGCTCAGCAAGGATTAATAAGATCGAAAATGTCAGTAGATGTTTGGCTTTCTTACACGCCAAAAAGGTAAAGAATACTCCTTTTTGTTTTGAATTTCTTTTACTATTCAAAAGAATAAAGTACTTTCGCGTGAATTAAGAGCAATGTGAAATTCCTCTAAGAAGATACCCGTAATGGCGGATGATTTTGGTTTCTGTGATGTTAATTAGTAATCTTTATGTATGTTCTCAAAAATAACGATTCCTTTCAGAAGTGGAAGTCTCTGGAATTGATAGGTTTTCATTGCATATTATATGTTAAAGAACGAAAAAAAAAAAAAAAAAGATATCCTAAAAGGACATTTTAGTTCAGGGTCTTATATGTTTGTGTCTCTGTCTCTGGATCTGATCTTTTCTTAATGGAAAGAAAACGATGTAAAAGAATACAAAAATTAAAGAACATTTGTAACACTCAGGTTACATAGAGAGAAAACTACCTTTCTGAGACACATTTCCAAAATCCTGAACGACTCTCTCACATGTTAAGTTTTTTTAAACGAATATGTATGTTTTTTAGATATCCGAGACTATAACAAAATACAGGAGAAAACAAAAAATTCTTAAATTTTGGAATAAAAACGAATGTTTTCAGATATGAAAAAAGAGACAAAAACCTAAGCTCTTAGGCTAAAATATATATTTTTTAGATGGAAAAAAAATCTTACGTTTTTAGAATAAAAATGACTTAATGTAAATATTTATCTTCTAATTTATTTGTAAATTCTGATATGTTTTAATTTATTTGATTATCACTAAAATTTTCTTCGTTAATCTCTCCTACCAGGGCTCTAATATGTCTTACATTTTCTTCTGTAAAATTTAGTAAACTGGCATCTAATTTCTTAATTTCCTCGACTAATTCATTTTTCAATTCAAAATAATTAAATTCTATATACTTTAATGTAAATCGATTTTTAGCAACATCATGATTATCTATAGGATTTAAATTTTTTTTGAAAGTTTATTCTCCGTATCAGAATTTTCATTACCCGTTAATTTAAAAACAATACCAGCAGGAGGTCCTTCTTTGATTTCATCATCACCAAACATTTATTATAAGGATAATTTTATCTTGATTCTTTTGTTATCACTAGATCGTTTGATGTGATAATTACTCTTTAAATGTCTTTTTTTACGGGCAAAAGAATACTGTATACGACATTCACAATCATATTTTGTATTATTAATTTTATATTTACAAATTTTACAAACATTATCACGATGAAATTTTCCATAATTAGAATGTTTATGAAAATCATTTAATGGTTTTTACAATATTATAATGTATACATATTCCTATCAGATCAATTAATTATGATCTAGTTTTTTTAAAACGATTATTAAGTTTCGGCCATCAGATCTTTTGGCTATAAAGAAATTATTCCCCATTTTTTTCACATTTATTTTTTATTTTATTTCTTTTTTGGCTAAAGGTTATATTTATTTCGTTTGTAATATTATAATAATCACAAACTTGCTTTTATAAATCGTAAATAATTGTATTAAAAGGTTTTAAAAAATATCATTGCTTCTTGATCTAGAATAATATTGTTTTTCTTTTAATTTTATTAAAAATAAGTATTCCACTATTATATCTCTGGTTTAAAAGCATGTTTATATTAAAATCTTAATAATAGCCATCTTCTGAACTATCATATTGTTTTTTAACTATTTTATTATCAAATATTTTTATATCATCTTTATTATCTTCAGAAGCGTCAGAAGAGAAGTCGTCAGCTTCAGCAGCGTCAGCTTTGCTGCGAGAGCTAGAAATATAGTTTTAATTTTGTACATGTTTTCAAAGACTTGTCAAAGTCTTTGAAAACATTTGTGTTTATTTCTTATGGTCACAAGATGAAACCTAACTAAATTTTCGTTATGTTTGTTAGGAAATTCCGAAAAAGAATTAAGTACATTCTTTAGTGAATTACTTTTATTTCTTTCAGAAATATATTTTAGACAATAAAAACCACATTTTCCAGAAGCGAGATGATGTAAAAAAATATGCAACATAAATCTTTTAATTAAGACACAATAATACGCCGAATAAATACTAATTCAGAAGTCAAACAACAAAAATCAGCGTTATATTTACAAAATTTGTTTCACGAAACTAGTCTTGTGAAAAAAATTTTGTAAATATAACGCTGATTTTTGTTGTTTGACTTCTGAATTAATAAATCTTTTATTTAATCTTTACATCATTATATGCAACATAAAAATATTTATATAATTTAAGAAATTTCTAAATATTATCAGGATATAAACGCTTTTTGAGTTTCATTTTACCTAATTTGTATTCACCAAAAGGATCACGATATTCTATATATTTATGTTTATGAACGTTATAATAAAAAATCCAATGAGTTCTAGCACCTTTAGAGACATTTAAACTAATTACTCAATTTTTCTAATTCTTTAACCTTTTTAGGTAATTTATCTGACGTAAAAACGCCCCTAAATCTTTTTCATTTTTGATATTTTATTCAATCATTTTCCCTGATATCCCCATGCCTAATATACTCTCTTTCCTCGCTTTTTCCAAGGCTTTTCCGTTTTGACAGCCTTTTCCTAAACCTTTTTGCGCCCCATAAGAACCTATACCGCTTATAGCTTCTTATCCTAATTATGTTAAAAGAGGTAACAAAAAAGGTAGGAAAAAAACCTCCGGATATTTCTGGTTGTTCTTTCTTTAAATTATTTGGAGTTCTGAAATATTTGAGTATGAAAGTGCTCCGAATCTAAATGTCCAGTGTTTTAACATTTGAAATACTTAAAGCAATTTTGGTTTTAAAAATATCACAATTTGATTAAGAATTTCTGGTTTAATTTAATTTAAAATATCTTTAAATGACGCACCACCTTGTTTCGATTTGAATTTCGATTTAGATATATGAGCTTTACTTATTCTAATTCTTTTCCCATAATTAATTTGATCAATTTATGTTTTTCTTAAATTTAAATCATAATTTAGAGTTTTAGATTTATCAATCTGTGCTGCTACTTTCGCTTTTCTTATTATAAGCAAATTTTAATTTACTAATCTGTTATCAGGGAAAGTAGGACAGAAACTAATCATAATAATTTTCATTTTTATTTAATTTATTTAATAATGTAACAACTTGTTTATATAATTTCTTAGATTTACTTCCTTTGCATATTTTATGTTAATGTTTTAAAACTATCTAACTGATAACGCGTACCATATTTTTGTTTAGGGTTCAGATTATGTCCTGAAGCATCTATATAATGTTTGAATTGATCGAATATATGTCTATTTAATTCTGAAAGTGATTAATGATGTGATTTTACATCTTCTTTTTATGATCTAGATTTCGCAGATTCTGAGGATCTTATATCTATTGCAGCCCTAGCTTTTATTTCCTTTGCCTTAATTAAATCATTTATTGTCTCAAAACTTTCTTCAGTTAGTTCATTAGGTTATAAGGTATTTCTCCCGCCTTCCTAGCGTGCCTTCGTGGTGTAGTGGTTCTGCACGCTGGGCCGGTATTCTAGAGGTCCGTGGTTCGATTCCCGGCAAAGACGTTTGCTAATTTTTCATCTTGCCTGTTTCCAAAAAATTACCTAATGTATCTACAAGGTAAAGTTATGACTTTTAAAAAGATAATTATCTGAAGTTTTATCAAAATCAAATGAGTGAACTTTTTTTATGAGTATCTGCTGTAGTCGTTCTTGAAATACTTTTTCAAAACTAACCGCATAATCTAATTCAGGTAAAATTCTTGAAGATTCAAGGCAACGAAGCTGACGCTTCATATGACAACGATGGAAATGCTGTGTTTTGTATAACATCTTGAATGCTTTTTACAACATTTATATTTGATTTTTCTATTAGCATTTTTTTTTATTTCTATTTTTCTATTCTATTATTCCAATAATATTTCTATCATATTATTTCTTTATTCTTTTTAAAAGTACGAAACATGATTTACATTCATTTGAAGTAAATAAATTTTCTATATCTCAAAATGGTGATAAAAGATGTTATATTGGAGGATGGAATCCATACAAGAGGCCTTACGTCACTATAAAATGTTTTAAAAAATAATTCTAAATAAATGGATGCTAATTGAGGGTCTATATCTGGATATTGTAACTTACAAAAAAAAAAAAAAACTTAGCGCCGTTTCAAGATAAGATTGATTGCGAATTAATATACAGCATTAGAAATTATCAGAATTTATTGAAAAATTTCAAGATAAAGTTGTTTGGACATTTATTCAAAATATGAAAACTTATCAGAAGAATTTATTCATAAGTTTCAAGATAAGGCTCACTGGGATGATAGTTCTAAAATATAAAAATTATCAGAAAAATATGTATTTTTGAATTTCAAGAATTTACAGAAAAATGTCAAGATAACGTTGATTGGAGATATATTTCTAAATATAAAAAATTAACAGGAGAATTTATTGAAAAATTTAAAGATAAGGTCGGTTGGGAATGTATTTCTAGATACTGAGAATTAATAGAAGAATTTATTGAAAAATATCAAATTAAATTTTGTATTTTTAAAGAAGAGAAATTAGAAGAAAATGAGAAAAATTTTAAGGAAACTGTACTTTTGAGATATCTCTTTGGGTTTTTAAAAAATAACTCTAAATGAATGGAAGAATCGTTAAATCATATTTGAGCTCTAAATTTTAGAAATCGTGAAAACATTTACTCTCTTTGTAATGATTTGCATGAAAATATATTTTAGATGCTTCTGAAAAAGAATTATTAGAAAAATTTCAAGTAATGATTGAATTAACTGAAAAAGAAGAAAATTAAGATATTATACTAGGAGGGTTATGAATTTTATATGATATTCCAAAGAATTTATATTATTGGTGAAATTATCATTTTATGAAAGCCTTTCAAAACGTTTACCAATAAAAGGAAGAATTAAGTAGTCTCGGATATTATCTTAAAACTCTAAAATTGAAAGATTTAGAGCCTAGGAGATATAATCTGACTTTTTGAGAAAACTGAAACTAAATATGAAGATTCATTTATTGTAAAAAC